AGAAGGCATCCCAAGACTGCCCCCTCCCCTTTCCTGGCCCCAGGCTGGAGGGGCCGTGAGAGGTGGAGGACAGACCCAGCATGCCTGGTTTACCAGATTGGCTCACATGCCAGAACTCAGACCCAATATGCTAAAAAGGTTCTGTGTGGTATGGCCTCCCTGCACCTGTCTCCCTTCCTGCTCACTCCTCAGCAATGCAGTATTCTGTTCCTAAACGTCTGTAGTTGCCTCAGCCAATTCCACTGACCTCAGGCTGCCAAAGCCATAGGGCTGAATGGGGGTCACTCCCCAAGGATAGGACAGTTTAGAAGCACCTCATCCTGCCTGTGGATGCAGAGAGCAAGTTCTCTCACCTCAACCTGCCCCAACCCAGCCACCCCACAGCTTTGAAAAGGGAAGCTAATGGGCTGCTGCTCAGAAAAGAAGCTGAGGTCTCGAGCCTTCTGGACTTGACTGGGCTCTGACAGGGAATGCATGACTGTGCATTTGCCCAGAGTCAGTGATCTCAAAATCATCCTGCAAATGAATGGAAATGAGACCAGTAAATTACTTCTTAAGACCACACTAAAATCTTACTAAACACAGTTCATTTCCCTGTGTCATTTCCACCTTCCTCCCACACCTTGTTGCTAGGAAGCCCAGCCTTTGGGCTTTTATTACTCAAAATACATGTACGTGATTGATTCTACCTGCTTCATTTTGCAAGTCCAGTACACTTACATATAATACAAACAAGGCCACACAAAGAACAAAATCCAACTTCTGCAGGACCATCAGACAACCAGACCAGAGATTGACCTGAGAATGTCACTTGAGGATGTCTTGGACTGCTCCACAGGCATTCCTTGACTCCCAGAGTTAGACTGAGGTTGGGCTCTGAATCTGTCTTCTCAGAGACAGTTCCTGCCCAACCAACCAGAAACCAAGCACGAGCCAAAACTTAAATTACCTCTCCAACAACACTACACCCAAAATGAGATATGCTAATTAAAGCAACCCCTGGGGCTGACATACCCACCTCTCTCCTGCTAGTCAAGTGCTAAGTGAAACAGGCTTAGGTGGCCACTAGGCTTCCGGGTGAGGCAGGCCAGGAAGCCATTCTGGTGGTCAGCACCAAGCGGGAGTCCCCCACAGAACAGGTCCTGGGTCCAGCGGAGACCCAGACACCTGCCAGCTGCTTTGCCGAGCATCCACACCAGGTGGAGAGGGAGTCCTTTTAAGAGGCCCATCTGAAGTCACCAAATTTGTTACCAAACTCAAGTTCACCTCTTGGGGTACTCTGTTCAAGATCCAGCCACGGTTGTCACTGTTGTGGGGTCAAACCCTGGGTTCAAAATAAGACCACCGGAGGCTGATAATTTATTTTAAAAGCAAACAAGAATTTATTGAACCAGGGCAAGCCGCAAGAGTACCGCACACAGGCGGACCCTACATGACTGCGAGGGTTTAGGGGCAGGTAGTTATTTTTAAAGGTTCTGATTAGGAAAATCCCCATTCTACAACAAACTGTTGTTTGAAATTTTCTGCTGTTCTTCCTAGATAAAATGTTGCTTTCTAGTTTGCTTTAGCCCGTTTGAAGAATGATGAAGATAAACTTAGCTGTCTGACCTTGCAGGCCAGAGACCAGATATGCCCACAATCTCAATACCATGCCAGGTGCATTATTTTAATTGGATAGAGAACAGCATTGTTTTCGAGACCAGCATTGAGATAACCACTAAGTGTACATAGGGCTGGCTCTTTAATGAAAAAGAAAGTTCTGCCTGTAACCTTGCCCAGAACTTGAACTCATCCTCCCTAAGCCCATCACGCGATGAACAAAGCAAGTAAGTGAAGGTCGAAGTCAGAATAGTAGGGTTAAAATTCAAACAGTAGTTTTTACCCAAGTATGATTGCTACCATATTTCAGTCACAAGGTAGTTTTATTTACTTGCAGAAGTAAAGGAGACAGTGGATTCATACCCAAAGCGCAACGGGAGGCTTAGCCTTTTACATTTAGCAAGAATAACATTTAGCAAAAACTGCCCAGACCTTCAGATCCTTGTCCTAACACAGCACTCAACACATAACCCCTAAATGCCCAAGGCTTTATCAATCACCTTCTCCCCAACACTTTGTTCCCTTCCACCGTCCCCGGCAAAAATCTTATATTTCTCAGCAGACAGCTTCACCAGGTTGTCCATTCCCCCTGGCTCTAGGCTGAAGACAAGTCCCCACCTCTGGCAGCGGCCTGGCTCCCCCAGAACTACATTTCCCACAGTGCTCTGAAAAAGTTAGTGGCGGAGGCCCCGGGCCTGGAGGGCTAGTTTACGCAGAGCCTCCTGGGAGTTGTAGTCTGGCTTGTTCGCAGGCGCGCTGCTGTGGACCGGCGCTGGCCTTTGTCTGTCCGTGGGCTTGCACGGCTGTGGTGAGTGAGGCTGCTAGCAGGTCATGGCACCCAGGTGAGCCAGGGCCAGGCTGGCAGGCGGCCCCCGGGGCCCTCTGCTGCCCCGACGACCCTCAGCAGGGTAGGCCTGCCCCGCTGCAAAGGCCGGCCGCAAGGGGAGAAGTCTGCAGCTGCAGAGAAGTCTGCCGCTGGACCAGAGGTGGGGTTGGGGGCCGGCACGCAGGGCATGCATGGGGGTGCTGAGGAGGGAGGATCTGCCCCTAGGAGCAGGGGTCCCTCCGACCACCGCTGTGCAGGGCAGGGCGTGTGGAAGGTCCCTCACCCTGGAGTCGAGGGAGGGGGCCGTGATAGACAGGTGTCGCCCCGGGCCTGCGGGGAGGGTTCAGAAGATGGACAGGAAACTTGCAATCTCGGGGGGGGGGGGGGGGGGGGGGGTGATGGGAGAAAGGACAAAGTGGATTCGGTCGTGCGGAGAAAATAATCACCCCCACCCAGAATCTCTAATGCTGAAACTATGTCCCAGGAGGTTCCAGAGACGCAAAGTCACCCCCTCTTCTCATCCTTTTCTTGAGGGCCGTCAACTTTAGGCCTTAAGTAATAGGTATGGTCACATTTGGGTATTTTATTCTCCCAGGAATTGCCTGATATGACTGTTATTAACCTATTTAATAAGTGAGGAAATAGAGTCAGGATTGTTTGATTACTTGCCCAACGTTACATGAGGAAGTGGGGAGTCAAGGCAGAAATCCAAGTCTCTCATGGCCTAGTTCTGAACTTTTCCAAAGGATAAAGAGCCATTCTGCTTGGAAAAGCAGTATTTTCTATGACAAAGCCACTTTCTCCAAATTCTGCGGGAAATTAATTCCTCAGACATGTGATGTTGGGAGAAAAATAAGAATTTCCTTTTGCCGGACCAGTTTGGTTCAGTGGATAGAGCCTCGGCCTGCGGACTGAAGGGTCCGGGGTTCTATTCCGGACAAGGGCATGTACCTTGGTTGTCGGCACATCCCCGGTTGGCAGCTGATCGATGATTCTCTCTCATCGATGTTTCTAACTCTCTATCCCTCTCTCTTCATCTCTGTGAAAAATTAGTAAAATATATTTTTTTAAAAAAAGAATTTCCTTTTATTAATCAAGGAAGTTCCTGGGATGCAGCTGAGTTTATTACTTGTTGAAGAGCTCACAGTATGTGAAGAGGCAGAGCTGTAGATTCTACTCCATTTGCTGGATTCCACAGGGACAGAGTCCAACCTCAGGCAGAAGGTGCCAGGTACTTTCCATTGACTCTTGGTGAATGTGCAGTTGTTGAGCAGTAACACCTTGAACTTCCAAAATTAATGACCAGTCGTGTCCTGACACTCTGTTCGGGGGTTCCTCTACAGCTTGTATTCCCAGTTGGAGATGAGTCCTCCAATAAGAGTTTAAAATGCTCTTCAGTCACCATAACAGGTTGCAGAATGTGCAGTTGACAAGAAGACCACGTGCTTCAGTTAACAAAGCAAAGAACTGCAGCATCACACTTCCGTTTCATTAAGTCAGGCGGCCAGCATTTTGATAAGACTTACTGGAGGTAAACAAAGATTATACACCAGAACCACTGTATAAAGTGTAAGAATGTGATGATCAGGATCCTGAAGTAAGAAAAGGATATTCCAAAGGGGAAAAAATAGAAAAAGATAATATGGGGCAAGAGAATACCTAGGATCTAGATGAGTAGTAAAGTCTGGCTAAGCCCTGTTCCATTCTGTTCCATGTTATAAAAATTCCCACCAGCTCTTTAATGATGAAGTACTAGAGAACTGTCTAGTCTAAAGGCATAGGCTTTGGATCCTGAAAATCCTGGATTTTAATTTCTTCCACCTTGACTCCTTACTGGCTCTGAGAATTTGGGCAAGTTACTCACCCTAGTTGGAATGCCTTGGGCTAGGTTTTGGAATCCAAAGTAGGTCTTCTTTTTCCAAGTACTGACAAGTACTTACACTTCCCTCAGAACTGGTATTCTCATATCTTGAAGAGTAGAAGAGGGGAAGGTCTGGATCTGGAGCCTCCTAAGAATTGTTTAAAGGTTAACATGAAATATCTTATTCTGTCCTCATAAATTAGGGGAACTGGAGAGGAGGACCACAGCCATTTCTATCGTAGAGCCAACCATGAAGTCTGAATATTGAGTTTTTTTTAATATTCTGAGGCTATACAAATAGCAGGTGGTTAGATGGGGGAAGGAATTAGAAGATTCTAATCACATACCAAGGTTAAGGAACAAACAGGAGTGCCCATTATCTTAGAATTGGCAGGAGGAGAGAGATGTGTGTTGACATGTTCCTTTTCCACCTGCTGCCCCCAGGCTCATTTGTGTGTGATCATCTGCCTTTAAGACCATGTTGCTGTTACATTAAAGGTGACTAACATTATATCAGTTCATCCTGAGTTCTCCATTTATTCATACCCCAAACTGGAGCTCCTGTTGACTTGAATCTTTTCACTCCTGCCTTCTCCTGTTTTTGTACTATTTTGTTTTTGTTTCTTTGGTGTTTTCCTCCTCAGATGCTCAAGAACAGCCTATGGAAGCAGCACATGAAGAGGTGGTGATTAAGGTCATACGGCAGGAGTGGACATGTTTGGATTTCCAACAGCTACCCTGCTGGACTGTCATGGACGATATGCCCAGAATGTAGCATTCTTCAGTGAGTGAGTCAGTTATCTCTGGGATGCCCTCCACTCACCACACGGAGTGTCCCTGTCCTCAGCACTGGTTGGCAGGCTGAGAAGCAGAGGAGACATTCCTTTGGTGGAGCTCACCATGTCTGGGAGTTACAGGAAAAGCCTGCAAGTTAGAGTGAGAAATAACAATGGAAACAGCAGAAAACAATCCTGATATGGAGGTAAACTTGAGGTAGTTTCTCAGAAAATGAATGAGCAGCTTTAAATTTCAGTGCAGCCACTGAGTAAGGAAGGGTAAGGCAGAGGAACAATGAGAAAATCTCCCTAGGATGACTCCAAGAAAACTGTTAATCCAGGGTAGTGATAAATTGGAGCCATATTTAAAGGGCAACATTGGAAAATACTGTCAACAGCTGCATAGGAAGTGTTTGAGAATAACTGCTAAACCAAAACTGATCTCAATTCCACCACAGCTTAGTAGATTGAAGTAGCATAAATTTTAAAGGGAAAAATTCCTTGAATCAGAAAGTCTAGTTGTTCTGGCTCTAGCTGCAGTATCAGACAAACTTCCTTGAACTGCAGGGTCGTTGTCAATGAAATAGGACAACAGCTCTACCCTGCAGGGTTGCAAGAATTAGAGACAACAAGTGTAAAGTACCAAGGATTCTGCCCTGCCGGTGTAGCTCAAAGATTGAGTAGAGAGCCAGGAACCAAAAGGCTACCAGTTCCATTCCCCACCAGGACATTTGCTTGAGCTGTGGGCTTGATATCCTGGTGGGGGCGGGGGGGGGGGGGTGGGCAGGAGGCAGCCAAATGATGATGATGTTTCTCTCTCATCCATGTTTCTATCTCTCTATCCCTCTCCCTTCTTTTCTTCTCTCTCTCTCTCTCTCTCTCTCTCTCTCTCATACTTTTTTTTTTAAGTACGAATTATTTTACTACATATTTTCTGATGTCATGGAGTTTACTCCACTGTCAGGAAAGCAGACTAGTGCAGAAGTGGATTTTTCATGAAGCTAATGAAATCTGAGTTTCAGGATTCCTCTCTTGCAGGATCTCTTCAAGGCCCTGTTCCCACTTTTACACTTTTTCCTAATGAAGTGCCTCCAACATTTTAAAGCTTTAGGCCCTGCCCAACCTGGCTCCTCACCTGTTTGAAGTCAGATAAAATTTGGATATGGGGTTCTGTGTGATCCTATATAGTTTTCCTGAGTCTGGAGATGTCTATATTTACCTCACAAGATTATCTGGGAGGCTATATTGAACAAAACATAAAGGCAGTGGAGTAGACTTGTGTTTGAATCTCAGCTCTATGCTAACCTAAATGCATAACCTTTGACAACCTCTCTATGCTTTCATTTCCTTGTGTGTAGCATCCCATAGGATTGTTTTCAGTGTTAAATTATCTATGCAATGTTCACTGTGTAATGTCTGGCACATAATAAGCACTCAACAGAGCACTGGTTTTTTTTTTTTTTCCCCCTATTCTTCTCACTCAGCATATTAGTGCATCTTATCTGGCTTCCCTCTCATTTTACCAGATGTGATGACAGAAGCCCACCACAAATATGATCACACCGAGGCCACAGGATCCTCAAGCTGGGACTTCCAGAGTTCTTTCAGAAGAGAGAAGCTGGAACAAAAATCCCCAGATTTTAAGGCACTACAGGAAGATTCACCTGGTGTGAGACAGAGGGTCTATGAGTGCCAAGAATGTGGAAAATCCTTCCGACAAAAGGGTAGCCTAACGTTACATGAGAGAATCCACACTGGTCAAAAGCCCTTTGAGTGTACCCATTGTGGAAAAAGCTTCAGGGCCAAAGGCAATCTTGTCACACACCAGCGAATACACACAGGAGAGAAGCCTTATCAGTGCAAGGAGTGTGGGAAAAGTTTTAGTCAGCGAGGTAGTCTGGCTGTTCATGAAAGACTCCACACTGGACAGAAACCCTACGAGTGTGCAATTTGTCAGAGGAGTTTCAGGAATCAGAGTAACCTTGCTGTTCATAGAAGAGTTCACAGTGGCGAGAAGCCCTATAGATGTGATCAGTGTGGAAAAGCCTTCAGTCAGAAAGGAAGCTTGATTGTCCACATCAGGGTCCACACAGGCCTGAAACCATATGCCTGTGTACAGTGCAGAAAGAGCTTCCATACCAGAGGAAATTGCATCCTGCACGGCAAAATCCACACAGGAGAGACACCATATCTATGTGGCCAGTGTGGGAAAAGCTTCACTCAGAGAGGGAGTCTGGCTGTGCACCAGCGAAGCTGCTCACAAAGACTCACCCTTTGACCACATTCTTCAACGAGAATTCTCTTTAACTATAAAATCTGAGATCAAGCCACCTACCCAGTTCTATGGAGTGATTGGAGACTCTTTCAGAAAGACTATCATTAGGTAGGGCAAACTGACTTTTCCCATTTCTTCCAAATGAATATGAAAAATAAATGTCTTGTTTATTATCATTATCATGTTTGTTTCATAGTTTCTGTCCGTTTCTTTTGTCCTAATTTCCCAAGGTACTTCCATTAACGTAGTGCACACTTGGAGACTGTTGTGTATGTGGCAGATACAGATTTCAAGTTTTTAGTTGATACCATCAGCCTTGGCCGGGGGGGGGGGGGGGGGGGGGGGGGGGGGGGGGACACACGACACAGCCTCCTGCTAATCCCAAGGTTCTTTTCTTCCCTGTATAATCAAATTAATCTTGCTTTGCCTCATTTCTCCCAAGTCCTCCCTCCTATAACTAAAAAATCCTGGGAAGAGTTGTGACTGCTGAATGGCACATGACTGTTACCTTCATTTCCTCAAAGTCTTTTTTTTTTTTTTTTTAATATATTGTATTGATTTTTTTACAGAGAGGAAGGGAGAGGGATAGAGAGCTAGAAACATCGATGAGAGAGAAACATCGATCAGCTGCCTCTTGCAACACCCCCTACTGGGGATGTGCCCGCAACCAAGGTACATGCCTGTTCCAACTTCTGCACAGGTGACTGGGGTCCCTCAGCCAGAGAACTGGACTTATACGGGTTGCCCACAGTACTTAACTAAAATTGACCGAGCATAAACTAAACACAGACACAAGAGTTAAAATGCATGAATCCCAAGGTTTATTTACCAGAGTCCTGGTGGTTTCCAGAAGCCTAAGGAGGTCACCTGGAGATCCGTGCTGACAGACACACACACTGGACAGGAACACGCCGCTGCAGCGTCTCGGTCAGGAACGAGGCCTCAGAAGTTTGGCTCACAGGCAGAGTGACAGCTTCACTCCGGCAGAGTCTCATGCAGTATTTCGAACGGGGAGAAGAGAGTGGAGAGCACGTCAGGTGGAGGAGCCCTTCGTGGTCTCTGCCCAGAGCCTCTAGGTCCCTTCTTTTATGGCCATTTCTGGGTGTTTCTTAATTCCTTCTGGGTGCAAACAATAAATCTTCAGTGTGTCTAATCGGGCACTCTCAGGTACCTTTTGCCTCAGTTTCCAACTTTCCAGATAAGCACATGTTATGGCATTCACACAGTTAGGGGCTCAAAGTCAGTTTTAAAACTCAAGTTTTACAAAATGGATCCAAGTCACATTATATGGAGTTACTTATACGAAGCCTAAAACACATTTCAAATAATTTCTTTTACTTAAAATCAGAATAAGATCAGAAATACAATTCACATTTAAACTATAAATCACTCATAAAAGTAAATGCTTTCATTCCTATTTTAAATCACACAAGTAATTATTCTTTAAATCCTTAAATCATCACACTAATATAACTATAACAATGCCCTTGACCGGAATCGAACCCAAGACCTTTCAGTCTGCAGGCCGACGCTCTATCCACTGACCCAAACCAGTTTCGGCTTCCTCAAAGTCTTGACTCCAAAAGTTCCTATTTAAAATCGCACTGCCTTGCCAAGACCGGTTTTGCTCAATGGATAGAGCGTCGGCTTGGGGACTGAAGGGTCCCAGGTTCGATTCCGGTCAAGGGCATGTACCTTGGTTGCGGGCATATCCCCAATAGAGGGTGTGCAAGATCTCTCTCTCATCGATGTTTCTAGATTTCTATCCCTCTCTCTTTCTCTCTGTAAAAAGTCAATAAAATATTAAAATCGCACTGCCTTTCCTCAACTCAGCTCTACTCTCTCCGTAACACACACCACCTTATCACACACTCTACCGTTCTTTATCAAAATCACGTATTGCTTTTTTCCTCCCCTATTTAACATCCAAAGTGATTTTCTTTAAGCGTCTTTAACAGTTCCTAGAACACGTACGCCTCAGATGGTTACTAAACTAATAAACTTCAAGAGGCAGATGAAGGTGCCTAATGGCATATATTCAGAATATTTTTACAGGTAAAGACGAAATTACGGGTGATATTCACGTTCTTTTCCCCTAGCACATTAACAAAATGTGAAAAACACTTTAATGGATATTCCTATGATAATTCTTACGCGTTTGTAATTTTAAAATAATACTAACGTAAATGAACGCTCAAAGAATAGTTAAAAATCAGTCTGCTGAGAGCAGGAACCCAGGAACCTCCACGCAGCGCCAGGGAAGCCGGGGAGCTGGGGACGGCACCGAAGTATACACCGGAAGTGCCGTGGCCCGCCCGCGGCTTTCTGGGACTTGTAGTTCAGAGCCCTCCGCGGGCGGAGACGCCGCTGCCAGGCACTGGATTCACGTGGGAGGTGAGCGGCGGACGGCGGGTGGCAGCTGGCAGCTGGCACCTCCTGCAGAGAGGCGGGGGTGGGGGGGAACCCGCGGGGAGGCTGGCTGTTGTGGGAGGGCGCGCGACCCGGGAGGTGTGGTCCGAGGCGCACAAGCGACGGGGCGCTGCGACGCCGCAGCGGCTCCGAGGGGCCCTCTCGCCGGCGCTCCGGGGGGCTCCGTAGTTGGCCTTTTCTGACAGGTGGCTGGCCTTCTTTCAAGGAGGTTTTAAGTGGGCGTTAAGCAATCGAGAGGGGCTCCCGTGAGGGGCGAGGTTTCTGTCCCCACAAACACTGTCCTCATTAAAGGGTTGCATCCGAGCCCGGCACCCCCAAAAATGAGTCAGGTGGAGGAAGGCGGCGCGGGCATCCAAATTCATCACGAGAGATGATACATCCAACCCGAGAGCTCCTACTGCTCCAACTAGAACTTGAGAGCCGAAAATGGACCCATCCTGGAGCTGCTAGGAGCAGCAGGATGTGCCTGGGGGAAGGGGCGGGCTTGGTCTGTTTGACCCAAAGCCAGTGGGGAGGGGGGAGGGGAACCGCGTGGGGAGACAGGACAGGCTCCTCAGGAGAGGGTTTCCTACAGTAGCAGGAGCTGGGGGACTTGATATTCATGGCTGTTTCTTTATTTGCAAGCTCCAGCTTCCCAGGACTCCGTGCTGCGAGGAGGGAATGGCCAAGTTCCAGGTGCGTTGGGTTTCTTCTCCGGAAATGCTGTCTCCCTGAGAAGGTAAGTAACTTTGCTTTCTTGGGACCCAGGAAGGACATCAGCATTGAGTGCCTCTGATGTCAAGTCCTGCCTTTGTTCTGTGTGTCATTTTTCCCTTTATTGTCGGACTCCGGAGTGAGACATATGGTATTTTATAAATACGGGTGCAGCAACATTGATATCCTAAGGGCATACACTAAGGCATCCAGCCCTCAGTTGCTGCACTGGTCTCTGCTGCCTGTACATTACACATCAGTTTTCACTGAGCTACCCTCTTCCGGAACTTGGCTCACTCCCTAGAGCGCTGGGCTCTGCTCTTGTATTGAAAGACTCCACACACCTTTGCTTGGGCGTCTCTGTTAAAGCCTGCCTTTTCCTGTAGACATTTCACTCCTGTTGAGTCATTCAAAGCTATTACATGTCAGTCCTTTGCTAAGTGGTCGCAGGAAAACCCACTCACTCCCCGAAATGCTCGTCAATCAGGCTGTGTATTAGAAGTGTTTGGCTCAGTGGTAGAGCGTCGGTCTACGGACTGAAAGGTCCCAGGTTCGATTCTGGTCAAGGGCATGTACCTTGGTTGCGGGCACATCCCCGGTAGGGGGTGTGCAAGAGGCAGCTGGTCGATGTTTCTCTCTCATCGACGTTTCTAGCTCTCTATCTCTTTCCCTTCCTCTCTGTAAAAAATCAATAAAATATATTTTTTTTTTAAAAAAAAGAAGTGTATTTGTAGAGTTTTTTAAGAGTTAAGGTTCCTAGGTATCACCACTCCCAAACCTACTAAAAAGAGAATTTCACTTTTTTATCCCCTCGATCTTTGTATGTCCATTAATTTGTTGCATTTATTGTCAGTCATTTCTCTACTTGCTCGATGTGAGCATCTCTAAGATAGGTAAAAGGTCCATCTTTTATGCTCTGATTACTTTGTTCCACCAACATATCTACATGTTTAAGTGGTACAATAAATTGTTAAATTACCAATTAGCACTTTTTAAAAAATCGATTTTTCATTTGTCTTCATAAAATCATTTCTAGAAAGTTACTTCAAGATTGGCACTTAAAATCACAGAATGTTTTCAATGGAAGGGGTCAGCCAGCCTCTCTCTGCCCTGGTGCCATCACTCAACTGAGAAGACTCTAATTCTGAGGGAGCGAGAAGGGAGCACCATTTCCTTGTTGCAGGGAGCAGCATAGCAGGAAGTAAGCCCCATGCTTTCCAACATCATGCTGTTTCTTCACTATAACTGAACAGGTCATGACACCAGAAATTCTTTGAACAAAAGTAAACAAGACCATCTTTTTGTTTAGCAAATCCAGTCCTCACATACATAGGAAGTGACCGAGAACTCTTGTAAAAATTGGTTTGGCCCAACTGGTGTGGCTCAGTGTTTAAGCATCGACCTATGAACAAGGAGGGTCGGGGTTTGATTCCCGGTCAAGTCACATGCCTGGGTGGCAGACTAGGTCTCCAGTGAGGGGCCTGCAGGAGGCAGCTGGTCAATTATTATCTCTCATCATTGATATTTCTATCTCTCTGAATCTCTCTCCCTTCCTCTCTGAAATTAATTTTTAAAATTTTTTAAAAATTGGTTTGTTTAAAGGACAGTAAATGGCCTCAAGGTACTGAGAGCATGCCATCGTTGTGCCTTGTGAAGTGATTGAGTACTCCAACGGAGATGAGATGAGCAGTAAGACCCAGTGCTCTGTATTGTCCTTCCTTCTATTTTCTCTCTTTCCAAGTGAAGACTATTTTCTCACTGCTGATGGAATTGTGAATTGCTAGTGTATAAATTTTGAGGTTCTGATATATATTAATAACTGAATTTAAAGAAGGGACTTCATCCACCAATGCTTGCTGGATGTTTTTCTTTTCCAGGCA